CCCTGTAAGACCGGTCCTCGTGTGGTGGTGACCTCCCCAATCATACAATGATTCTCGTTGCTGCTTCATCACCGTCATGTTGCTACTGTGATGAATCGCCATGTCAAGGTCTGATAGGCCGGATGTAGCTTCCGTTGCTACAAACGGAACCGAACCAAAGCATCGTGATGAATCACAAAAACAACAGGTGATTGATTCTGTATTGTGCGGTATTTGTTTCCAATGACAAATCAATGAAATGTTGTCTCGAAGCATGGGGTAGCAGGGGTCACAGTCTTTCTTTTTTAAGTCATTTTATTGGGGGCTCACACAACTCTGATCACAGTCCATCCATCCATCCGTTGTGTCAAGCACGTTTGCACATTCGTTGCCCTCATCATTCTCAGAACATTTGCTCTCCACCTAAGCCCCTGGCATCAGCTCCTCATTTTGCCCTCTTCCTTCCCACTCCCTACTCCCTCATGAACCCTTGATAATTATTATTTTTGTCATATCTTACACTGCCCGACGTCTCCCTTCACCCACTTTTCTGTTGTCTGTCCCCCAGGGAGGAGGTTATATGTAGATTCCTGTAATCGGTTCCCTCTTTCCACCCCATCCTCCTTCCACCCTCCAGTCATAATATAACAACACTAAAGTACATTGGTACATTTTGCAACAGTATGTGTAAAAAGTCAACCTCTCTGTTCCTAAGACCATCAGAAATAAGTGTTTTCTGATGGTCTTAGAGACCCCTTGTGAAAGGGGCATTCAATCCCCAAGGGGGTAGCGACCCACAGGCGGAGAACCGCTGGTCTAGACTACTGGGTCTGAGGGAGGAGGGAGCTGGGGGCCTGGACTACTGCAACTGAGAGAGGAGGAGGCAAGGACTTGGACTCTTGGGTCTGAGGGAAGAGGGGGCTGGGGGCCCCAACTCCAGGGTCTGACAAAGTCCCCTTATATCCCAATGCCCTCGAGAATGCCTTCAAAGGATCACATCAGAAGGTCTTGGATAGAGTGGGAGAAAAATGTGAAACACAAGTCAAATCCCTAACAAAAGACCAGGCTGACGGGTGGGATGGAGACTGGCGGAACCCTGAAGACCATGGCCTTTAATCACCCTTCAGATCTGGAAATGAATTTGCCACAGTGGCTCAACTTTCAACCAAACAGCATGCACACCTTAGACTCCTTGGCCATTGGAGAGCCAAGAGGCAGCATTTATCCAAGAACAGAGTTCAGAAGAGTTAGCAAAGATGGAGAAATGGAAAACGGAAACACAGGGAGGAAGTGGGACAAGTGATGCTGTTGGGTCACTAGTTTAGGGACAGGAGTTGCCCCCCCCCTCCCCCGCCATGCCTGCAAAGGCCACCATAGGGGGGAGGTTGGGAAGAAATCAGGTAACCATTAGACACCTAATGAAGACCCCAAACCTAGCATGCTCATACTCAAGCCCCAAGCCGGGTGGGAGGTACACCTGGGTCGTCCAAAGGAGACCCAGGCTCAGGTGGGCTCAACCCAGCCAATGAGGGCCACCAATACCTTCAACCACGTCTTCCCCTAGTCAGGGGTGGCTAGAATAAAGGTAGGGAGCATGCTCTCTTACCCTCTTGCCTCTTCCCCCTTGCTCCTTCGACCCCTCCGTCTCTGGGATCCCCTCCGCCCAGTTCCACACATGTGGGTGCTCAGTTGTGCACCCCTTTGAGACTGTAAAACCTGAAACTTGTCCTGTCCTTCCTAAAAGCCCACTTGGATCACAAAACGTACTTTGGCATGAAACCTTTCCTCATGCGAAGCCAAGAACGGAGGTACAACCCACTCCAGAAACCTAACAATGCAACGTGTGGGGATTACAATCAATGGCATGAAACAGACAGCATATGAATTGTATGGAAAGCTGACCGTCCCTGACAACCTTCACTCAATTCGTCATAAAAAACTTTAAGAAAAGAATGTCTTCCAATGCTCCCTGCAACCCCACCCCCAGGAAGTCCACTCTTACCCCTCCTCCTACAAATTGGGGTTTCTGTGTCCCTCAACAAGATGGATTGACTTAGTGGCTAGAACCATGGGCTCACACACGAGAATGAGTGTGACAGTGGTGCAGTCTCCTGTGAAGTGTAGTTCTACATGCTGAACATGGGCCAGTAGATTGCAGAGGCTCATGGGAAATGTAGTTCGACACCCACCGGTCGCTGTCCAGACTCTAGTTGATATGGGAGCCTGGGATGACTATTTGGAGTCAGGACCGGGCAGTGTTTCATTCTGTTGTGCATGGGGTCGCCGAGAACAACAGCAGCACTTACTTCTGGAGGAAGCCCACATGCTGCAGTGGGTTAAGTGTTGGGCTGCTCACCAGAAGGGCTTTGGTTTGAACCCACCGGCTACCCCAAGGGAGAACAATGAGGCAGCCTGCTCCAATAAAGATGGAGAGGTTCAAAAACCCTCCAGAGTAGTTCTACTGTGTCCTTGAGGTGGTTACCTAATCTCATGTCAACTTGAGGGTATTAAAAGTGAGGGGGTGGAGTCTAGCTAGCCTGTCAATCAGGTCACAGCCTCACTATGTCTCCTTGTGGGCGTGGCCTTTTAAGGAGGACTCTGGGAACTTCCTCTCTCTCTCTCTGCCTTGGTCTTCCTGTGGACAAGCCACACAGGGACTTGGTGAGCCTAGCAAGAAGCTCTCTCTGCTTTACCTTCCTGCTGTTGAGACACTCGGAGATCTGGAGGCGTTGAGAAACTTCCACCGCCATCGGATCCACAAGACTTTGCACCCACCAGCCCGAGATCTCCCTGCATTTTGCGTCATTGCATGTGACTGCATGAGTCTGAAGAGAGATTTATGGACTAGTATCGGACGTATGGGCTACTATCGGACTTAAGGACTTGATCTGGACTGGGCTGGGATGTGTTCTTAATATACAATGGCCCTTTGATATAAAGTTCTCTCTTCCACATATTTGAGTGTCCCTGGATTTGTTTCTCTAGACAACCCAGCCTGACACAGGCCTACAGGGTTACCATGAGTTGGGGTTGACTCGACAACAGTGGGTTTTGCTTTGGTTTTTCTAACCTTCTGTAATATGTGCTGGGCAGCTTCCAGCTTCCATCTGATCCACCTCTCCTTTCTGGTACCCAGGAGGCAACGCTGGATATGACAAGAACACAGACTCTGGTGGCAGGCTGGGCAGTTCTCAGTGCTGACACCGCCATGCCCACCAGGCTGTGCCACCTTGGCAAATGTCCCCCACTCTTTGGGTCAATAATGCGACTTCCAATAGGCATTGCCTGCAGCTCATGAGTGTTAAGTGAAGCAAGATAAGCAAAACCCTGGAGCCAAGCACCGATGGAGGACTTCATGGAAGGCTGCCCCCGACTTTCTGTACCTCCATCTCTGTACCTAGCTTTGGCAGTCGGCGGGGGGGTGGGGGGTGGGGGGTGTCTCTGGTTCCTTTTAGGGAAATTGATCTGTTTCTCTGCATCTCAGTAACTCCCTCTCCTCCCTTCTGGTGGAGTTGGGCTCTCACGGTCACCATCTCTCTGCCTCTCCATTGGTCTTTCCTTTTGGCTTCTCTTCTCCCTCTCCCTTCCTGTCTCTGACACTCTCTGTGTCTGTCTTACACTGGGTAGACTAGAGAAACAAATTCATAGACACTCATGTGTCTAGGAGAGAGTTTTCTATCAAAGAGCAATTG